AGAGATGCTTTCTCCCAGATCCCTGAATTACACACAGGGTCACCAGTGCTATCATGGCTCTTCTGACCTCTAGATTCCTTGTTATGAGAAATAATATCTGTGCTATTTAAGACACTCACAGTCAGATATTCTGATACTTGCAACAAAACAGTTTCAAATTTATAATATAAAATGTGACAGAGGCTAGAGTTTCTCTTGGTAAATGAGTCAGGGTTTTTACTTGTAAGCAACAGAAGCTGATGGGGGCCAATTTAAGCAGTGGAAGTACATGTTAGAAAACTGACAGGGCTGGGGGTGGAGCTCAGTGGCAAAGCACTTGCCCAGATCACGTGAGACCCTGGGTTCAACCCCCAGCACTGCCAGAAACCAAAAGAGAAAAGTGTAGCTCACAGAAGCCGCAGGACAGTGATTTCAGCTGAGGGTAAAATAATGTCAGGGGCCAGGGCGGTGATGATGCTCCTGCCACCACTGCCCAATCCAGATGCCTCCATTGGCATTCAGCCATCATGGCCCCTGGAACCACTACAGAACTGAATGGCCCTGCCCTGATACTGTTTCTTTGCACCACTTGTCCCTGGATGGAAATGTCCTGCTAGCCCAGTTCTCATCTTAGGCCAACATCCCAGGCACTTGAGGAGTAGAGACAGTAAGAATGTGAGTGTATCTGTCAGCTACTGCTGCGTAGTGAACAAGCCCATCTCAACAGCACTCAATGAGTGTTTGTTTTTCACGTCTGAAGTGACCCTTAGGGTGCTCCTGCTGGGCTAGCCTTGGCTGGGCAGCTCTGCTTCCACATGCAAGGCCAGGGTGGGCAGAGGCTCTTGCTTCCCGGTCTCATATTCTCCGGGGACCAGCAGCTAGCCACAGCACGGTCTCCTCCTCCTCCTGAGGAAAGTGGGATCCCCTGAGGCCTTCTAATTCTAGACTTGTGACTTAGATGCAATTGCACCTTCCCGTGTCTTTAGCCAAGTGAATCACCTGGCTGAGCTGAGGAGGAGGAGTGGGGAAGGTTCCTCCATCTGGCAAGAGCTGCCAAGTCCCATGGCCGAGGACACGGTCTCAGGAATGAGTGGGGGAATCGGGGCCCACAGTTCCATTAATTGCCATTGCCCTGGGGGCGTCCATTACAGAGGGCTGACTCCCCAAGGTTGAACAGGAACCCAGACCTGGACAACCAGAACTGGAAGCCGGCCCTCCTCTGCCGCACCTTGGCCCCTGGAGGCAGGGAGGGGGAGCCTCTCTATTTTTGTCCGGTGGGCGTGCTGGTGGGTGTCCTGGGCATGGGAAGGATCTGGATGGCGGAGCCAGCTGAGGCTCAGCTGGGTTCAGGCGGAGGCCTTGTGGGTGCTGTTGGTAGCCCATCCCGGCTGCCCCTTCTCGGGAGCCTTTGGGGTCCCTCGGAGGTGACCCCCGAGTCCCGCCCACTCAGCTCCAGCCCTTGCTGCCCTTTGTGGTGACCCCACCTTGTTTCCCCTCCTGCTCCACCTGGAGCCCGGGCTGGAGGGCAAGGGCCTGGTTCTCACTCCACACGTGTTCTGCCATGAGGTCTGCACATTTGTTTGTTCAGTTTTTTTTTTAAATTTTAGTTTTAAGTGGACACAATATCTTTATTTTATTTTTATGTGGTGCTGAGCATTGAACCCAGTGCCTCCCGCATGGTAGGCGAGCGCTCTACCTCTGAGCCACGACCCCAACCCGGTTTTTTCTTTCTTTTTCTTTTTGTGTGGGGATTGAACCCAGGGACATTCGACCACATTCCCAGCCTTTTGTATTTTATTTAGAGACAGGGGCTCACTGAGTTGCTTAACGCCTTGCTTTTGCTGAAGCCTCAGGCTTTTAATTTGCAATCCTCCTGCCTCAGCCTCCCCAGCGCTGGGATTACAGGTGTGCGCCACCACGCCCGGAACAGTTTTTTCCTTTTTCTTTTTCTTTTTGTCTTTGCTGAGCTGGGTCTGGAACCAGGGCCCCACACGAGCTAGCAAACGCTCTACCACTGAGTCACATCTCTGGCCCCGTGTCTGAATTTTTTTGGCTTCTGCTGGGACCTTACCTCTTTCTCCATGATCAGACCTGATCCCTTTCTTGTGTCACCTCTTTCTTTTTGTTTTTGGCGGCACTGGGGATGGAGCCCAGGGCCTTGAACGTGCTAGGCAGGTGCACACAGCCCCAGGTTACCCTCTTAAAACTCTCTGACAGTAGCCTGCTTTGGAAGTCAGAACCGGGCCCTGGATGGTTTTCCTTTTGCCTTCCAGTTCCAACGGCCCTAATTCACCTCGACAGAGTGTGGTACCCCAAATAGACTAAGATCCCATATAAGGAAGAGCAAGAAAGCAAAGCGTAAACCAACATCTTCAAGAAGCGTTTTGCTTCCCTGGCAGTTAGTGCCCATGATGAAGCGGGCGCTGGGCTAAGTGCTTTCGTGCGTTATCTGTTTAATCTTCCCCAGAGTCTGGTATGAAGAGTGCCATTATCCACATTTAACTGGGGAAGATAGTGAGGCTCAGAGAGATGATGACACTTTCCCATTGTCACACATCTGGACAATCAACAAAGCTCGGACTGCAAGCTCTCAGGAGTTTAGGTTTTTATTTAACTGTGTTGAGAGGCTTGCTGTGGCCCGGATGCAGAGGGGAAAGGTGTTCCAAGCGGGCAGCCTATGCAAAGGCCCTGAGGCAAAACATAGCAAGGCTGGAGTAGAGGGTGTGAGAAAGGGCAGAGGCGATGTTGGTGGAGTTGATGGGGAAGGAATGGAGCCAGGTAGAGTTAGGAAGCTGAGGGGAGAGAACTAGATTTGGGAGGCAGTAGGAAGTGGTTTATGAAATGTGCTTCATAACTCAAGCAAAGCTCTTCAGCAACTGATTAGCTGAAGAGTGACCCAGGGCAGGTTGGCCCTAGAGGGAGGGACTCCAATCTCTTTGGGGATCAGATAGGTTTTCTTTTTTTTTTTAATATTTATTTTTT